GACTAGGGATTGGAGACCCTATGTCTAAAATAACTTCAACTAGGGAGTGGAGACCCTATGTTTGAAAAGCGACTAGGGAGTGGAGACCCTATGTCTAAAATAAAATCAACTAGAGAGTGGAGACCCTATGTTAGAAAAGCGACTAGGGAGTGTAGACCCTATGTCTAAAATAACCTCAACTAGGGAGTGGAGACCCTATGTTTGAAAAGCGACTAGGGAGTGGAGACCCTATGTCTAAAATAAAATCAACTAGGGAGTGGAGACCCTATGTTCGAAAAGCGACTAGGGAGTGGAGACCCTATGTCTAAAATAAAATCAACTAGGTAGTGGAGACCCTATGTTGGAAAAATGTAACTAGAGATTGGGGACCCTAGGCTACCATGTTTTTGAATTTTCTTCTCTTTTTTCATTTTTTTTACTTCACTTTTCATTTTTATTTAGGAGAATGAATGAAAAGTTTAAAAGGACTTCCTTTTTCGGGTCAATTTTTGTTGCAGAACCGTTTTGGTTTCTGCGGGCTTTGCTTTTATTGCACCTGCTCCTTGCAGGATTACTTCAGATTCCACCTTGTTCATGTTTTCAAACAAAGAACAATTGTCATTTTGAAATGGTGGTTGGTTTTGTGGCTTTGATTGTTTGGTCACTTGAGCTCGGCCCAACTCTTTCGATGAAAAATCTATGTTTATCATTGGCTTTATGGAGATCGATCTCTCTTATAAACCCAGGGATCTTGACTTTTCTAAAAGTACACATGATGGTTCACTCGCGTGGGGATTTGGCCTATTCATCTTATTTTACCATTACGGGCATTTGACTTTGGATTTCTTTCCTTTTCAATAGTTTGACTTTGAAGCATCGGCCATCATGGCCAGTCGAGATCGACTTGATGCACCTGCTGAGGCTGGGTGCTTTTTCTTGAATTTGGCTTTTTTTAGGTAGAACCCTGTAAAACCAATCTTGCCATCTTTTCTTTGTATTAGTTTCGGAGAGGGATTAGACCGAAAGGGACTCAAAGAAAAGTAAACAAAGGACAGGATAATGAATTTAACGAGAAGCGTACCTTTCAGGGGAAGAAAGAAAGAGGGACTTATCTGGAGTGCATGCAGACTTCAATCGGCATGACATGCTTCTTGGACTGGATACCCGATCTACGCAACCATCCAATCTCTCATAAACCCAACATAACTTGTGTCTTAAAACCAAGAAACCTTGACAGGACTTTATTAGTGCTGATGGTTGTAGGGAA